GTCTAGAAGACCAGATCTCGCGCCCTCATTGGATCAGAAGCTTACATTTGGGCAGTTACTCAAACCGGATAATATCACTGAAGACACGTTTTTAAGCGACATTGACTGTTTTGAGGCTAATTTTGAAGATGAAACAATCACTAACAAGGAAGCCGAAGAATGGTTTGAAGCTGATGTACTAAATCATACCAGAAATACGCTGATTGAATCTGATACAACAATCATGGACAAGATACGCCATGCTTCAGCGAAGGACCCTACCGTGAGCGAGCTGATGAACTCGGTACAGAACCCTATGTCAACAAAGATGAAAGGCTTGACAGAAGGATACTCGGTAGAAGACGGGGTGTTGTATCACGATCACCGAGTAGTAGTACCAACCGACAACTACATCAAGACAGAAATTGTAAAGAGTAGACATGACAGCCCGTCAGCCGGACATTCAGGTCGAGCGAAGACACTTAGTTTGATCAGAAGACACTATACATGGAAAGGTATGAAGGCTTTTGTGAACCGCTACGTAGATGGTTGTGATTCGTGTCAAAGGGTCAAGTCGTCAAATAAGAAGGCATTCGGCACGCTGAAGCCCCTCCCCATCCCAGCGGGACCTTGGACGGACATCTCTTACGACCTTATCACGGAACTACCTGAATCAAACGGTAAGACGTGCATATTGACGGTGGTAGATAGATTAACCAAGATGGCACATTTCGTGGCCTGCACTAACACAACTTCAGCAGAAGAACTTGCAGACATCATGTTACGAAACATCTGGAGGCTACATGGCACCCCGAAGACTGTCGTGTTGAATCGTGGAGGAATCTTTGTTTCACAGATCACGACAGCGCTCTATAAGCAACTGGGGATCAAATCGACACCGTCAACGGCTTATCATCCCGAAACCGATGGACAATCTGAGATTGTAAACAAGGCTGTAGAAGGGTATTTGCGTCACTTCACAAACTATAAACAAGATGATTGGGAGGCTTTATTGCCGATGGCTGAATTCGCATATAATAACAGCACTCATACATCCACAGGAGTATCACCTTTTATGGCTAACTATGGATTCAACCCAACGTATACAGCAATCCCGTCGTCCGATCAATGTATCCCGGCAGTGAAGGAAAGACTAGACCAAATCATAGAAGTACAGAATGAATTAAAAGAAAGTTTAAAAGCAGCTCAAGAGTCAATGAAGCAATTTTACGATAAGAAGAGGAGAGAGACACCTAAGTGGAAAATAGGATCAAAGGTTTGGTTAAGCAGTCAAAACATCTCAACAACAAGACCTAGTGCAAAAATGGATCATCGATGGCTTGGACCTTATAAAATAACTAAGTGTATTTCAGATGTAGCTTACAAAATTGATTTACCTCTCAGTATGAACAGGTTGCACCCGGTATTTCACGTCTCAAAACTACGAGAATACAATCAAGACACGATAGAAGGAAGACAACAAGTACCACCAGCACCTGTTACACTTGATGGCGAAAAAGAATATGAAGTAGAATCAGTTTTAGACAGAAGGTTTGAAGGAAAGAAAGACGAGTATTTGATTAGTTGGAAAGGGTATGGTAGAGAACACGATTCGTGGGAGCCTTTAGAAAATCTGACAAATGCTAGGCAATTGGTAGAGGAATTCAAGATCAAGTACCCGAACGCGGCAAAGAAGTATAGGAGAAGAAGGCGTATGTGAGAGAACCAAGCTTTTTCCCATAGGGTTTTTTAACGCTGGTTCGTGGGAAGGACGCAGGGCCATCATCACGGAGCCTGGGCGTTAAAAGGGGGATACTGTTATGAGCCAGACCTGTCACGGTCGCAGTATATACATGTCACAGGCGGAGGGGAATATCTCCAGTCCACAGTTGTACAGCGTTAGAGATTTTCCCCATACCGCAATCTAGTTACTTGCTGAAGGTTCTCATACGCTGCATAGAGGCGCCCATAACACAAAGCTCAAGACCTAAACGAGCGAGAGCAATCTGTCTTGAAAGAATTTGCAGACATTTTCCCGGCGGAACTGCCTCCAGTGGAGGAGGGTGATCCGCCGGATGAAATCTTCCCAGAAGGATTACCTGAAGCAAGTAGACAAGTTCGGCATAAGATTATCCTTACTGATCCTGATGTTGTTATCGACGAGAAACAGTATGGATATCCACAGAAGCACAGGGAGTCTTGGCGTAAGCTGGTGGATCAACACCTACGAGCCGGTCGTATCCGGAGATCTCAAAGCCAATATGGCTCACCGTCCATGATCATTCCAAAGAAGGATCCGGCGGAATTGCCACGATGGGTCTGTGATTACAGAACCTTGAACAAATATACTGTCAAGGATCGGGCACCACTGCCCAATGTTGACGAGTCAGTAAGATTAGTGGCCACTGGAAAAGTTTGGTCAGTTGTGGATCAAACAAATTCATTCTTTCAGGATAGAATGAGAGAGGAGGACATCCCGCTGACGGCGGTGAAAACTCCTTGGGGATTGTACAAATGGGTAGTGATGCCGATGGGATTGACAAACGGACCTGCAACACATCAAGCTAGAAATGAAGAAATTCTAGGAGATCTAGTGGGAAAAATATGTGTAGTGTACATTGATGACATAGTAATTTTCTCTCAAACTGTTGAAGAACACGAGATACACTTACAACAGGTACTGGAAAGGCTGCGTGCGGCAAAGTTGTATTGCTCAGTCAAGAAGGGCAAACTGTTCAGGCGTGAAATCAAGTTTTTGGGTCACATCATCAGTGAAACAGGGGTCTGCCCAGATGACAAGAAAGTCGAAAAGATCTCAAAGTGGGCGTCTCCAACTAATTCAAAACAATTGCTCAAATTTCTAGGTACAGTGCAATGGATGAAAAAATTTATAGATGGTCTCTCTCACTACGTTGGAACCCTATCTCCGTTGACAAGCACGTCCTTGAAGGGGAAGCCTTTTCAATGGAGAGAAGCGGAAGAATTTGCATTCAACAACATCAAACGTCTTATCACAACATTACCAGTACTACGCAACTTGGATTATGATTCAAAAGAACCCCTCTGGCTTTTCACTGATGCTAGTGGAAATGGACTAGGAGCCGCTCTGTTTCAAGGTGCCCGGTGGGATACAGCTTCACCGATTGCATATGAAAGTCGAACGATGAATCCCGCCGAGAAGAACTACCCCGTCCATGAGCAAGAACTTCTGGCAGTCATCAACACTCTCAACAAGTGGAAACTGCTACTTTTGGGGATGCGAGTGAACGTGATGTCCGATCACCATTCACTGACTACGCTGCTGACTCAACGTAATCTCAGTAGACGCCAAGCAAGGTGGCTGGAAACACTGTCGCAGTTTGACCTTGATTTTAAGTACTTACGGGGTCAAGACAATTCTGTAGCAGATGCTCTTTCACGGCGAGACGATGTTGCGCTGTGTGAAGTTAAGGCAACGCTAAGGGAGGAAGAGATTCAGATGATTCAGAAAGGGTATAAAGAAGATAAGTTTTGTATTAAACTTCAAAAGGTTGTCCCGTTGCGCGAAGACTGTGTGATGAAAGATCATTCATCATTCAAGTTAAACAAGAACAATGGAATCAGATTAAATCGGCAAATCAACAGATTCAACTAATCAGAAAATCATAAATCACATTAACCATCAATTAGTTTAGCAACTTCCGGCAATTTAATCTTACCTCGCCTACACCTACACCACAAACCCCCTGTAACCGGTCCAATCGGAATCCCTTTGATTGTATGTCCTCATCCTTTCTCATACCTCTTCCTCCCAAGCTCTAATTCAAATCGCTTACTAACATCTTCTATTCTCACAATACACTAATTATTCCCTTAGTTGATTCTCCATCGCTTGCTGCTGTTGCAATGCCTAAATCCACTACCACCATTGGTTATCCGCTTTACATATCTGGCATGTTCCAACAACTAGCGATGGGGCCCATTCTGTACTTTGCAAATGACATTCACGCTTGATGGTTTTGCTACTAAATTTATCTAGGTAACACTTCAAGATAGATACACCACCACCAAATGCTGAAACTATCAGTCCATCTCCTATTTCCAAGGTCTTACCCGATGAGAATTGCAGGAGCTCATTTAGCATTCTTCAGTTGATATGTACATTTCTTTGATTCATCAGTGTGATATTTGTTTGTGAAATTAACAACCTACCCCAATACCAATCACACTCCTGCTACCAACACCGTTCAACCTTGCTGACATCATCACAAGCTAAAGGTCAACTGTGAATCAGTTTATCCAAAAAACAACTAATCTAGACTATATTACTGTATATCAATCATCATCATTAAAGTAAACAATCTGCCATTAGTGCAATTTTTGAGCTTTGTACTTCGTCCACCATGGAAATCATTTTGAGATTCATCTGTGGTTCCTTCATTTGTACATTTGATCATCTGCCAGCTATTATTCCTCCTTCTAGCTTATGCGGCAACTCAACTTTGCAAGTCAATCCACCCCTGGCCAAAAATCCTGAAGCCTCCAATGTTGCTCTTATTACGTACATGCCTCACATGCCTCACATGCAACAAGACTAATAATTCCAGATTCACACTTCAACACCAAGCTCAACCTACATTCGATTGTCGTAAATTAAAGAAACCAGATTTATCAACTTTAATTGCCACATTTATCTCAACAGAACATCATTCAGAAATCCAGAAAACAAACAAGAAAACCTTAGATACAATGGTAAAACAAATCAACAATCTTGTCCAATTCGTTAGTCTTAAATTGCACATTTTCACTTTCTTGATCATCCATTCTCAATCCAAATTCTTTTTTTAGGAGAAAGAACAAAAAGTTTATTATAGTTGGTCGATTGAGAAATTCAAGAAAAGAAAAACAACACAAATCGATCTTCAAATGCCTTCTGTACATACACACCCAGGCCAAGATCAAATCATCATTTGATTACTTTTCTTTTTTTTCCTTACCTTACAATTAACCCAACAGTTCTTCTTCTTTTCCTGATATCTCAAATGGCAGTAATTGGTAAGGACTATACCCCGTTGATCCATCAAAATCTTCAAATCTTCAAACACCAAAACCAAAGCATGGTTATTTCATTCCTTCAGATTCTCCTACTCGTCCTACTACTAACGATTCCAATTTAGCCTGTAAATTTTGTACTTCTTTCTTGACCTTACAATCATCAATTAAGATCTAATCTGTGTACTTTTGGTTTTTACAAACATTCATTTGATCCAGATTCAACACCAGAAGAAAAGAAACAACAAGCGATTTTAGGCGCTGATAAATTGGCTGAATTAGATATGAGGCATCTTCATTTAAAACCAACTGCAACAACTGATAAGTGAACTTTTTTGAATCCTGTTTCAGAACGTTTGATAAGTTAATCAAATTGAATTATCATTTGATAGCTCTCAAAATTGATCTCAATGGAATCAAAGTCGAAGTAAGTGATTTGATCATGATCAACCAAATAAAAATCGAGTAATTGATTAATAAGTAATACGGGTTTTTTTTGTAACCTTCAGCCAATATGGAACATATCAAAGCCACATCAGAAGCGGATGCAAATTCTGAAACCCAAAATGATATAAATTCAACGAACAAAACCAAGAGTGAACTCGGTGATTCTTTTTCTTTTTGGTTTTGGGATTTAGGTTTATGCTGATTCATTTGAATTTGATTATAGGTTCTTTCACCTTCTATTGTGGCTTCTGTTGATCAAATCTTGGTAGCTTCTACTCCTACTGTTTCGGGATCGACTCGAATGTTGACTTTTACTTTAGGTTCAAAAGGACGTCGAATTGATTCTATTAGAACTCATCCCAAAACTGAAGATGATGTGGTAGTCATGGTACGCTCCTAAGTCCCACTATTATGAATTAGTAACTGAAATTTGCTTCCATCGGGATTGGAAATTTGATTTTACTCAGAATGATATCTTGGAAATGACTGCTAAGGATGCAGCGGCCAAGATTAATTTCAAGATTGTTCTGATAATTAGATTTGGGAAAGGGTTAATTGGCGCAGCTAAGGATATCATCATAGAAAACATCTCCTTTTGTGGTATCATTTGGATCTTAATCAGTCGGTTCTGAGGTTCTTCTACTACTCTATTAGTTTATTCACTTCAATCAACACTAATCATACCTTTGTCTTGTGTCTTTTTATCAGAACTTATGAATAGTTTTCCACATTTACAATTAGTGGATTTATATTTCCTGGAAGTACCAGAGTTTTACTTTGTACTCATAACTGTTGGTTTTGATCTTAACACAATTCCTGGTATCTCAGGTTTCATTGAATCTCAAGTACAACATGCAACCCTTGGTCCTATGATGCAAGTTGTTTTTTCAATTCTTGCGTTCTGATCCAAATTCTCATCATGTGTTTCTTTTTTTGAAGGTACGATCCGAATGTTTCCACACTTAATTTAGAACCGATGTTAGCTGGCACACCAATAGATTCAGCTATCAGAGTCATTCAACTCACTGTACATCATGCTCGCGGATTAAGGGCCGTCAAGATTGGTGGTGGGACCCCTGATCCATACATGACAATTTTGATTGGTGCCCGTGGTCATCTAGATTGTATCAAGGTGAGTACGCATGATTAATCACAATCTAGAGCACTGTAATTGAATTTTGAAGTGTATCTAGGTCAAGAACAGTACTCAGAACCTACACTGGAACAGTACCCCACTGTCTCCTTCTCAACTCTCTCAACAATTGTCTCACACTGGAAATCATGGATTACAACAAATGTAGGAAGGACACATCACTTGGAACGCCTTTAGACCTTCAGACCTTGGTAGCTGATCTTGAACAATATAGTCCGACTATTCCAGTCATGTATCAATTGAAAGCCAGAGGTGAGATCCAAGTCGACCCCATCTATCATCCTTGATTGATTCCAAAACCTCTGGAAAGGGGTGAAGAAGAACCAATGCCTGAAAGTACTACAACTGGTGTGGTACGTTTAACACTTCATCAAGCAAAAGAACTTGATTACAAACAATCAGGTACCAGTCAATTATCACCTTGTGCTAAGATTTACTTGAATGGGATTCAGCTTAAGAAAACCTTTGTGATCAAATGAACAAATAATCCTGTATACAAAGTTTTTACTGAGGTATTAGTTGAGAAGGAATCAGTGGCTGTCTTTACTGTTAAAATGTATGATGAATGTGTTGGAGAAGTTGCATCAATTGGATATATGTTTGTGAAACTTGATCATTTATTAAAAGCTATTCCTGGTGATCATTGATTCATATCTGCTAGATGCTTTCTGAAATTGTAGTATTGGTTTCACACATTTCTCAAAAGTGGAATCAACTCCTCATCCATCCAAAATTATTTCCAGAACAATCTGTAATTAAAACTGATCAATAGCAAATCTTGAAACATTTTCAATCAATCTTACTGACTCCCTCTATTGTGTTCTAGACTTTTGGTCTTCAGATTTTGAAACAATGACTAACAATCAAAGCACTCAATAATCCAATCAACTGTTACTATCATAGAGAGTCCAAGTAATTCAAAACATCCAGAAGAAATCATACATGATTTAATATTATCATTAACTTTGTCAACTGCATCAATCAAATATAAATCCAACAAAGCATTAGCAATCCTACTCTCAAATCCTTCAAATCAATCTACCACTTTTTAATCAGATTCAATTTATTCACTGACTGTTAACTTCTATACTTCAAGTCTTTCTTAAGTTAGAGCTCAAATGTGCTCAAATGATCAGGTCCTTTGATTGATTTATCAAACATTTCTCTTTTGACATCAAAATCACAACTTTTACAGCAACTGAATTTGATGTTAATTCTGAAATCTCTAGGTTTTTGGCTTTTGTTACTAATCATGAATTGATTAGATAATCTATCAGTACTGAATTGAACACCCACAGTCAACTAACTTGAGCTATGGCATCCAGAAGTTCAAGTTGAATTGTTTAGAATCAATAATCAAACCTTGAGGTATAGCTCCATGTGGACATTCATTTCTCACTTATATTGAAATTGACTGCTCCTGTACCATCAAGGTGAATTTTCCTTGGATCTTGGTTCAATTCCAACTGTATTGAAATTGATCCCAGCCTCCCAAGAGCTTTAGTTATCTCAACTAATTGATCTCCATCTTATTTGCTTTTATTTCCCCTAACAGGCCAGAGTCATCATCATCAGCAAGCTTTTGAATTTTGATTTTGGACAACTATCCCCTTGCAATCAACACTAGGTTAGCTCCCTCTCTCTGTGTGAGTATTTCCAATTTGATTCAAATTGCCTCCTACCCTCCGAATTAGCACCATAGGTCTCAAGTCTGGTTTTCTTTAATCTTGATACTGACTTGTTTTTTTTGATTGATTGATAAAAGGGATGGGAAAGATTAATGAATCTAGGTATTTTAATACCAATTAAAACTTGAACAAAAATTAAATGTTGAAACTAATAATGATGGATTATATGGAAGGCAAAACAATAATGTTGGATTGGTTTTTCAAACTGAAATTGATGAAATAACTGAAAATAGATTATATTTAGCTTTACATTGGAAAACATGGTGTAAGATTTGGTCTGATTGCAGTTTTTTGGGGGTGGTTCTGGATTTGGCTTTTGTGGCCGTTTATGTATTTAGTTGGGTTCATAGTTGGGTTCATATTGTTCATATTGTTCATATCATCATTCCAATTCAGTTTTCAAAAATTCAAGTCAAGAATAAGTTGGTGTAAATCAATGGTGATGAAATGTAAACTAATTATCTTTGCTTTCCTTGAATACACAAAGACTTCAAGGTATGTAGATCATTACCTCTTGGCAAAAAGACAAATTAAGAGGTCAAGAATCTCTTGATCTGACATTTTTTTAAAAAAATTTCTTTATAATTTAACTCATGATTTTGAAAATCTCACCTTTTTACTTATTGTACTTAGATCCTGTGGAGATTCACCAATTGAGTAATATGACTTTTCAATTCAAAATCTAATGAAAACAGATGATAAATCAAAATGTGAGCAGCAGAATCCATTTTGAAAGTTGAAGTAGGAGTCAAATGTGCAACCATAACACCAAATGAACCAAGCTAGAGTAAACAAATAATACAGAAAATGTGGCTGTAAGTCAACCCAAAAACCCCTCATGAGACTATAGGTGAATATCAATTGGTTTATGGATCAGCAAATGGAACAATTTGAAACACTCTAGATGGGGCAGCTTTTTGTGACCCAATTCCATCTAAGAAAATAGAGTGTAATATCATGTGACAAAACAACACTTGAGGTCTTCTGATATTGAAACTGTCAGGTGGTTAGAGATTAGGCTTAGGGGTCACACTTATGATAAGGATATCATTACTCTGTCCCTAGGGTATACAACATTCATTTTGTTCCCAATGACCATCATTCCTCCTAACCCTTAATCCCACCACATTGTGAAATCCTGAGCAGCATGACCTCCATACCCCTCCTTCCTCATTTACATCCTGTTTCTTGCTGCCAGCAGCAAAGATCTAACAGCCCTCTCTAAGATCACCTTCATTTGTGTTTGATTGCCTTAACTGTGTAATATACTTAGTGTCAGCCCTGGGTACATACACATGTACCCAAAGACTAACTTGTAAATATAAATATTATTCATAAAACCCAAATACATGTACATATATCTTAGAAACATATGTAACATGTAATAAGATATGTATATAACACTAATTACATATATACGTAATCAAGAACTAATATGTAACATATAAGATTACATACAAAAAACAATAGTAACATCTCATAACTCAGTATCAAGAGTTAAAAATGCTTATATAGCATAAAACACTTAATGACTACTGAACATAACATTAAGTGTAAGTAATTATAAAAATAATAAAAATAATAACTATAAACCTAATATTGTAACACTTGTGTATATCACAATATTAGGTTTAAAGAGCTGAATATATAAACCCAAACTCAGTTCATCCTCAGGGAAGAAACCAAGTTTATACATACCTATTTCTAAAGAACCATCAAGAGTTCTAATAGAATAAAAATCAAGAGTATTACAAATAGTAATACTAGTGATTCATTCTATACTACCTTGATTATTCCAGACTAGATCCAAGTAAGTTATATACTTCCCTTCTGGATCCTCTACTTCCCCTAAGTAGTTTCTGTACTAGGTTGGTGACCTCTGAGATAATAACCAATAGGTTGGTGACCTCCAAGATAATAACCAAACAGGTTGGTGACCTCTAAGAGATAACCAAGATAGTGATCTTATAATCACTCTTTATCCAATTACCAAGAAGGATATTGGAGAACATTGGGATCCTGTTCTCATCCCTTACATAATTGTAAATCAAATCTCTTCTTTAAGAGTCAACTAACTGTAGTCTGCCAGGATTTGTCCTAGCAGACTCTTAGTTGTTTAACCTTCTACTACTCCTCTCCTACTCATATCATCTCTCTCTCTCTCCTTCCTCTACCCTTGTAACTAGTTATAATCTGAAATATAATAATATTTATTATACTTCACTACATACCTAGTCCCAATACTACCATTCAGTGAGTGTAGCCTCCCTTTAAAGAGCCACTACCCTCACATTTGGGGGCCTCATCAGATTGAAACCCAGAACCTCAACTTTCATCAAAGATTGAGAACCATACCAACTAGACTCTTATAGTCCAACTACAAAAAGTTTCATTAGAAACCATTCTTAATTCTCAAATCAGACATTAAATTTAGAACAACTCCCCTTTTATCATCCAAAATTGATAAAGCCTTCCTCAAACTGGACTGAACTCATTCAATTTGAGAGCATTGTATTGTTCAACACTGCAGACATTATTCGGGTTCCCCAAGTGGGCAGGGAAAAATGATTGGGAGTATGATTTGTCATAAAATGGTCTATCACTCCACACCTGAGCCATAACACCCACACTACATATGTGTAGCAGGCTCAGTGAATATGTGGTTATCATGTACATACAGTTCTGCTCAGTTATCTGCTCATCAGGACAAGTTATTCATATGTAATACATGCTGTAACTTCTTTCAGATTGAAAAAAGCTTCCAAAAGATTGACTACATACACTGACTCAATGTTTTGGTGTGATCTCATCAACTCAACTGCATGTAACACACTTTCTGTTACTAAGACATAGCTTCAACAATATTGCCTGAGCAGCTACAGAATTATATGTAGTGAATTTTTGGGAAAAAAATTTCAAAGTCGAAAAAGTTACATGTGGTATAACATGTGATTTATTTATTCTGATGGGCAAAAAACTGAGCAGACCTGTATGTACATGATAGACAACTATTGACTTAGCTTGCTGCACATATGTAGTGTGGGTGAAATGGCCCAGGTGTGCAGTATTCGATTCTTTTATGAAAAACTGTACTATTAATCATTTTCCTCTGCCAAATTGGGGAAGTTGAATGATGTTTACAGTGCAACAATAATCATTAACACAATCTGCAAGGAACTACGAGTAGTGATCCTTTCAAACAATCTAAAGCCGCGTTGCTTGAGTATTACACGACCAAAGTGTAATAAATTACATACATTAGACTTAGATTTTCAGTGTTATACACAAACAACTACAACGAAGAAATTCGGATTAAAGGAACACTTACAGTTTTGAAATTTTGTTTTTGCAATATCAAATTTCACTCCTTTCGAAATCAGGAGAATAGACTTGGACGATCACGAAAATAAGTAAAAGGCATCAAGAATCAAAGGAAGAACTGATATCAAAACCAACTTCCAGATTCTTCCAACAAGAAACCAAACACGAATTCTCCGAAACGGAATCCAAACAAATTAAAAGTATAAAAACCCCAAACCACTCAATTTAGAACAGTGGAACGAGTTGAATTAAAGAAGATTAAAGAATCAACGAAAGTGATTCGAATCAGTATCAAAGTCAATAAAAGTTACTATTGAATACCATTCAAATTCTCATTTTTTTTTTATCTCAAACTTCAATTGAATTATTTCTATGTTTTACTTAATCAAATCCAACAGAACGAACTACAAGTCAAACGATCAATAACCGACGAATTGTTCGATAAAGTAAGAAGCCTAACTTTTCATCAA